TGTGGTCGATACGTTGGGGATAGTGTACTGTGTTGTGGTCGACAGGTCAGGGATTTTGTAATGTGTGGTGGTTGACAGGTCTGTGATTGTGTACTGTGCTGGGGTCGACAGGTCAGCGATTGTGTACTGTGCTGTGGTCGACAGGTCGGGGATAGTGTACTGTGCTGTGGTCGACAAGTTGGGGAAAGTGTACTGTGTTGTGGTCAACAGGTCAGGGATTGTGTACTGTGTGGTGGTTTACAGGTCGGTGATTGTGTACTGTGTGGTGGTCGACAGGTCGGGGATAGTGTACTGTGTGCTGTGGTCGACAGGTCGGAGATTGTGTACTGTGCTGTGGTCGACAGGTCGGGGATTGTGTACTGTGCTGTGGTCGATAGGTCGGAGATTGTGTACTGCGCTGTGGTCGACAGGTCGGGGAAAGTGTACTGTGTTGTGGTCGACAGGTCGGAGATTGTGTACTGTGCTGTGGTCGACAGGTCGGGGATCGTGTACTGTGCTGTGGTCGATAGGTCAGAGATTGTGTACTGCGCTGTGGTCGACAGGTCGGGGATTCTGTGCTGTGCTGTGGTCGACAGGTCAGGAATACTTTACTTTGCTGTGGTTGACAGGTCGGGGATACTTTACTCTGCCGTGGTTGACAGGTCAGGGATAGTATACTGTGCTGTGGTCGACAGGTCAGGGATTGTGTACTGTGCTGTGGTCGACAGGTCGGGGATACTTTTACTCTGCTATGGTTGACAGGTCAGGGATTGTGTACTGTACTGTGGTCGATAAGTTGGGGATAGTGTACTGTGTTATGGTCGGCAGGTCAGGGATTGTGTACTGTGCTGTGGTCGACAGGTCGGGGATACTTTACTCTGCTGTAGTTGAAAGATCGATGATTGTGTACTGTGCTTTGGTCGACAGGTCAGGGATTGTGTACTGTGCTGTGGTTGACAGGTCGGGGATACTTTACTCTGCCGTGGTTGCCAGGTCAGGGATAGTGTACTGTGCTGTGGTCGATACGTTGGGGATAGTGTACTGTGTTGTGGTCGACAGGTCAGGGATTTTGTAATGTGTGGTGGTTGACAGGTCTGTGATTGTGTACTGTGCTTTGGTCGACAGGTCAGGGATTGTGTACTGTGCTGTGGTCGACAGGTCGGGGATACTTTACTCTGCTGTTGTTGAAAGATCGATGATTGTGTACTGTGCTTTGGTCGACAGGTCAGGGATTGTGTACTGTGCTGTGGTTGACAGGTCGGGGATACTTTACTCTGCCGTGGTTGCCAGGTCAGGGATAGTGTACTGTGCTGTGGTCGATACGTTGGGGATAGTGTACTGTGTTGTGGTCGACAGGTCAGGGATTTTGTAATGTGTGGTGGTTGACAGGTCTGTGATTGTGTACTGTGCTGTGGTCGACAGGTCAGGGATTGTGTACTGTGCTGTGGTCGACAGGTCGGGGATAGTTTACTGTCCTGTGGTCGACAGGTCGGGGATAGTGTACTGTGCTGTGGTCGACAGGTCGGAGATTGTGTACTGTGTTGTGGTCGACAGGTCAGGGATTGTGTACTGTGTGGTGGTTGACAGGTCAGGGATTGTGTACTGTGTGGTGGTCGACAGGTCAGGGATTGTGTACTGTGTGGTGGTTGACAGGTCAGGGATTGTGTACTGTGTGCTGTGGTCGACAGGTCGGAGATTGTGTACTGTGTGCTGTGGTCGACAGGTCAGGGATAGTGTACTGTGTGGTGGTCGACAGGTCAGGGATTGTGTACTGTGTGGTGGTCGACAGGTCAGGGATTGTGTACTGTGTTGTGGTCGACAGGTCAGGGATTTTGTACTGTGTGGTGGTTGACAGGTCAGGGATTGTGTACTGTGTGGTGGTCGACAGGTCGGGGATAGTGTACTGTGTGCTGTGGTCGACAGGTCGGAGATTGTGTACTGTGCTGTGGTCGACAGGTCGGGGATTGTGTACTGTGCTGTGGTCGATAGGTCGGGGATTGTGTACTGCGCTGTGGTCGACAGGTCGGGGATACTTTACTCTGCTGTGATTGACAGGTCAGGGATAGTGTACTGTGCTGTGGTCGATACGTTGGGGATAGTGTACTGTGTTGTGGTCGACAGGTCAGGGATTGTGTACTGTGTGGTGGTTGACAGGTCGGTGATTGTGTACTGTGCTGTGGTCGACAGGTCAGGGATTGTGTACTGTGCTGTGGTCGACAGGTCGGGGATAGTTTACTGTCCTGTGGTCGACAGGTCAGGGATAGTGTACTGTGCTGTGGTCGACTAGATGGGGATAGTGTACCGTGTTGTGGTCGACAGGTCAGGGATTGTGTACTGTGTGGTAGTTGACAGGTCCGTGATTGTTTACTGTGCTGTTTGACAGGTCGGTGATTGTGCACTGTGCTGTGGTCGATAGGTCGGAGATTGTGTAGTGCGCTGTGGTCGACAGGTCGGGGATTGTGTACTGTGCTGTGGTCGACAGGTCGGGGATACTTTACTCTGCTGTGGTTGACAGGTCGGTGATAGTGTACTGTGCTGTGGTCGACAGGTCAGGGATTGTGTACTGTGTGGTGGTCGACAGGTCGGGGATAGTGTACTGTGTGCTGTGGTTGACAGGTCGGAGATTGTGTACTGTGCTGTGGTCGACAGGTCGGGGATAGTGTACTGTGCTGTGGTCGATAGGTCGGAGATTGTGTTCTGTGCTGTGGTCGACAGGTCGGGGATAGTGTACTGTGCTGTGGTCGACAGGTCAGAGATAGGGTACTGTGCTGTGGTCGACAGGTCTTGATAATGTACTGTGCTGTGGTCGACAGGTCGACACTGTGCTGTGGTAGATAGGTCAGGGATAGTGTACTGTGCTGTGGTTGACAGGTCGGGGATAGTGTACTGTGCTGTGGTCGACAGGTCGGGGATAGTGCACTGTGCTGTGGTCGATAGGTCAGGGATAGTGTACTGTGCCGTGGTCGACAGGTCGTGGATAGTGTACTGTGCTTTGGTTGACATGTCAGGGATCGTGTACAAAGCTGGCCCTCCCTGCTTCCGTCGTCGTCTGGTGATGAAGAAGTTGATGAGATTATGTTCCTTGTTGCGGGATTGTTCATTTTGCGGTGCCAACCTTCAGCAATGTCGGACCGCCTCCGTGGTCTAGTGGTAGAGCGTCCGCCCGGAGAGCGGAAGGTCCGGTGTTCGATCCCCGGTCTCGTCATACCAAAATACGTCAAAAGATTTTATTTGTTGTTACCCTGTCTGGCGCTCGGCATTCAGGGGCTAAAACAAGGACTGGTCGGCTCGGAGTCAGTATGCTGTGTCTGAGTAGGGTATTCATGTTAAACTGCGGCATGGTATCTCAGTGTGCTAGCACTATAAATCGGCATCGGTCCGGACTAGTACAAGCAGCCACACACACACAAACACACACACGTGCATGCACGTCGCTAAAAAGTGCAATAATGTTAGGCGCGACGTTAAACCCAATTTCACCTCACCTCAGCGATGTCGTGCGTTCTGTGGGTCACATTGACGAAGTGGTTCCAATTTGCCCCGGGATTTCAAACTTCACCCACAGAAAACCAAAGTTCTGATATGTAACAGAAAGAGGATGCTGACCGAGGAAGCATCAAGCTGTCTACTGGCGTAAACGGGCGTTAGGGGACTTTATCAGAGTTAGCATAGCTTCTTGAAATACTTGGGAGAGAAGATTAGATAGACCGGAAGTGCTAACGTCAACGTATACGTTGTTTTAACACTGACGATGCCCGCGGTCTGACCGCCAGGTCCTTATCTTTCCTCATGTACTGGGAGTACGAGCTGTCATAAGTTTTTTTGGTGTTTTGTAACAGCTGCGTTTATATTTAGTCTTTTAATTCGAAGTAAATATTTCTAAAGAATCTGCAGACCAGTAACATCGTTTTTGGCTGGATACATTTTTCTTTTAAGGTAAGTTGTTTGTTGTTAACGCCGTATTAGCGATAGAGCATAGACCAGACAATCCAGTGATTGATATTGTGAACAACGCCCCACGCCACCCTGGAACTGTTAGAAGGTAAACATGCATTCCAGACCGTGGAAGATTTATACAAAATGGTGGTCCAAAATGGCGGCTACCATCTTAATAGTTTCGAGGATGCGTTTGCTTTTCTGTAAAGTACTATTGAATTGGAAATATTGGAGACAGGAAGTCGCGTAATTAAGAGAAGGCAGGGGAATCGACCGGTGGTGACTCCAGGCACTGACTAGTCATGAATCATCCCATCAAGGCAAATACAACATGGTCTGATATGTTCTTAACAACTCAAAATGGTGATAGTGATGAGCTGATTGGTGTAGGGATGGTGGTGGGATGGATTGGCGGTGAGCCGATTGGTGGTAGTGGGATGATGGGGAATTCTGGTGTTTCTATTTTATCGTAAAACAATTTCTTCAATCCATAAGTACTGGTAACTATTTTAGCCAGATTAGGGATTTATCAAGAATATAACGATATAAATTATATCCCGTGCAACTGTAAAGCTATGTAGTAGACAAAGCTCATTGTTTATTCAAACTGTGATACCTTATCTGAATTAAAAGGACTATCAATAATGTTTGTAGCTATATTTGTTGATTTTTTAATTAAATAACGTTTTGAAATTATGAAATTGTAATTCAAAATGTAATACCACTGATGGTTTGGGAAATTTAGGGTTTGATAAGTAAAAATACCGGAACCTTATCTTGACGGCACGGTCCATTCCTTTCTATATTGCGCAGTTCAAACAATCTTGTTTTGGAGGCGAATAAAATAACTTACATTTGGGGAAATCTAGTACTTTTTGTTATCAACCATTATGAAACAGTTCGCTGATGTTTGCAAATATGCGTTACTGATTAAACCGGACGAACTGATTAGCTGTTTACCTCTTTGTAACCTTGTTTTGAAAAGTCCAACATTGTCAAAATTAATGACGGCATACTTTATTTGGAACATAATTATGACGTCACGTTTCCATGGGTTATGACGTCACCGAGAATGTAGTTTTGGAAACAACGTTTATGACGTCACAAAATGGCGGCCCAGAACAAACCTGTTATATGAAGATTGATTATTTTCGCAAATTAACAAAAGTTATGACGTGACCAGCGACAAAAGACAATGGTTTGTATTTAACCACGTAGCGGCGTATTATGTTTCGTTGTGATATTTTGGAGTATGTTTTGGAACTTATATATTCATCAGAAAGATGTCAGATTTGAAAACACTAAATGGGAGACATAGTCAGACCCTCCCCTTCATAATATGGTATCCAACGTTATAATAGGAAGGGTGTAAAATAGCTTAGACCACCTACGCAGTTCTCTTACATCCCTGTCGCAAAGACAGACAATTATCAACTACAAAGTGTTATGTATAATTCTACAGTTTCACAAATATGGGGACTGGTAAACTTCATCTCCCCACACATTATTATACCCCCGACCTTTTAGGTCAGGGTTATATAGTTATACCAAGGTTCCGTCCGTCCGTCCGAAAACTTTGTCCGCGAGATTTCTCTTAACTATTCAGTGGATTCATCTCAAACTTAGTACATATAATCTGTGTCATATGGAGGGGTGCAATCAAAAGAAAAAAAAAGTTTTTATTAATTTTCCATTTTTTTAATGAATTTTACAAACCCTAACCCTATCCAATATTTAATTTGAAACTACTGACACACTAGGCGGGTCGGGGGTATTAGTGAGCCACGCTCACTTTTGCCCTTGTTTATACTGGACAACACTTCTGTGGGTTACTGAAGGTGAAGGAGCGCCGACTTATGTGCTTAGGAAAACAATGAAACCGAAGTATAGTGATAATCTGGGTGTATTCTGCCACATGTGTATCTCATCCGATCTTTCCTAGGAAATGCCTACTGAACTAGCAACATATAGCTGAGTTATTCGCCGGTCGATCATCACCATGAGTATCGCACGGTGGCCCAGTCCTCTAAGAGTTGCGTCCCCAGGGCACGTCAGAAACCTTTGATTGTGATTTCGAATCCCGTTTCGCCCCGATTATGTTTGTTGGTTTGTCAGCACCATACCCGTGCTCGTGGGTTTCCCCAAAGTGGTAAACGTCTGAGACCTGCATCACTTCCGGCTTTCCTCCTACACTAAGCTAACACGCCGTGATATAACTGGAATACTGTTCAAAGCGGAGTTACTCAAAGCACAGTCACTCCTTTTGTCACGACACATATGTTATATAATGGCCATTTTGTATCTCGCAAAACAAGGACGTATAGTTAGAAAAACACATATACGATAAAAAGGTACAATAATATAAGCTTTGTTTTGTTATTAAACATCGCTTGCAATGAGGGCGGAATGGTTACCCTTAATACGAAAAAAGAATAGGCTTTCAGCAACCCATGCGTGCCGTAACAGGCGACCAAGGGGATCGGGTGTCAGGATCGCTGACTTGGTTGATGCATGTCATCGTATCCCAATTGCGTGGATCGATGTTCATGATGTCAGTCACTAGATTGTCTGGTCCATACTCGATTATTTACAGACTGCCGTCATATAGCTGGAATATTGCTGAGTGCGGCGTGAAACATCAAACAAACAAACAAACAAATAATACGAAAAGCAGTACTTTAGAACAGTTGTAACAACGCACTCGGAATTTGCTGTAGAGCAACAGTTCATCGCCGCATTTATTGCTAGTTTTTAGATGGTGCTCTTTATTCTTTGCTAAACCTTTACATGAGTTACATGCTGTTGTCTAAAAAAGACATATCGCAAGTCGTCTGTACTTCACGTATACACTACGTTCCTACATCCCACGTGAATACATACGGTAATTTCAACTTTGTATTTAAAATTTTAAGCTAGTATCTTGAAATTTCAAGATACTTACTAAATATATAAAAATAAATTGGCCCTGAAAGGATTCCGTAGTTATACACGACCTCATATCATTTGGCACTCAGAAAGATTTCTTTGGTAGACTTGTCATTGTTTGACATACAACAGACAGGCGACGCTACTACACCCTGTAGCAGCTGTATGTATTCACGGTTGTTTGTTTGTTGTTTTACGCCGCACTCGGCAGTATGCCAGCTATATGACGGCAGTATGTAAATAATCGAGTCTGGATCAGACAATCGATGGATTGACATCATAAGCATCAATCCACGCAATTGGGACAAGATGACATGCATCAACCAAGTCAACGAGCCTGACCACCCGATCCCGTTAGTCGCCTCTTACGACAAGCATAGTTGCCTTTTACAACATTCATAGTCGCCTTTTACGACAAGCTTTGGTTGCTGAAGACCTATTCTAACCCGGGTCCTCAGTATTCACGGTTGATGGAGGAACGCTGTGTATATTTTTACACGCGCAGCCTGTCGATCAGTCACTAACTATTCAAGCATCGTTAACATATCGATTGAAGAAAATAGATCACAACTTTGTTAATTAGGCTTCCTTAAGTCAGTTAGGAGAAGGTGAGGTGAGGTGAGGTGAGGTGAGGTGAGGTGAAATTGGGTTTAACGTCGCGTCCAAGATAATTGCACTTATATAGCGACGTGCATGCACGTGTGTGTGTGTGTGGCTGCTTGTACTAGTCCGGACTGATACCGATTTATAGTGCTACCTCACTGAGATACCATGCCGCAGTTTAACATGAATACCCCACTCAGAGACAGTATACTGACTCCGAGCCGACCAGTCCTTGTTTTAGCCCCTTAATGTCGAGCGCCAGACAGGGTAACAACAAGTACCATCTTTTAACGTCTTTTGGTATGACGCGGCCGGGGATCGAACCCCGAACCTTCCGCTCTCCGGGCGGACGCTCTACCACAAGACCACGGAGGCGGCCAGTTAGGAGAAAGATTTGAATATTTCTCCAACAGACAACCAAACAAGTTGTTACCCTGATTTGGTACTATTCAGCGTGTGGTGACACGAACGATCCGACTTTTTTTACATTGAGAAGAAACAGTGAAGTGATATTGAGATGGTATTAGAAACAAGCCTGAGATAATAGCGCAATCGATATTAAGGAGAACAGGGTTTCTCATCTTATACATTTCTTGCAAAAAAGTACTTTTATATTTGTGATATTTTTCAGTAAATGTGTGTGCGTGCTTGGAAGTGTGATCGTGGGAGGGCAAAGATTTTTGTCCATGGTGGAGGTGTATTTGTTAACTAACCAACGAGGCACGGGTGAAATTAATGAGTGACATATTTTCCGTAATCATGAGTGCAAAGTGGGTTATTCTATTTATTACCCATTTTCATTCTAAACACAATATTTTGAAAGTACATCGGCTTCTCTTTCTTCAGATTTCCCGCCTGGCTGCAGGCCGACCGGGCTTGCGACACACGCTCTTCCATCATTCTGACATGCGCCTGCGTGCTTCCCGTGATGAACTTCCGGGAGTGTCAGAAGCGCCAAATCACTACTCGTATGACGACGACGCAGACAGACGACACGAACAGGTGATGAAATACGTTCTTTGGCATACCCCGTTCTCGCTCATTATTGTGACCCATGTTTATTCAGGGGATAAACATATACCAATTCACATAACATACTCCTCGCTTGACATGGGGCGTTGTCTGGCCTAGATGCGAATATTTACATACGGACGTGATAGAGCTGAAACTTCTTAGTTGCGGCGAAATACACTCATTATGCACAACAATAACTCTTTTAGATAACTTATTATTATTAAATGTATTTATCTTAAGGGGCGGTAGGGTAGCCTAATGGTTAAAGCGTTCGCTCTAAACGCCGAAGACCCGGGTTCGATTCTCCACATGTGTACAATGTGAAGCCCTTTTCTGGTGTCCTCAACCGTGATATTGCTTGAATATTGCTAAAAGCAGCGTAAAACCATATTCACTCACTCACTATTTGTCTTAATGACGCAGATGTCTCAAGATCGCAAGTCGACATCTTCCGAGGACAACTCGACATCTTCAAATAACGAGGACGTAGAAGACATCATGACGCTAAACGTGGGCGGACGCATCTTCCAGACATATCGAAAGACGTTGCTGCGATTCCCCGATACTCGGCTTGGATTAATGGCTGAGAAGCCAACACGCATCACCATCAGTGGGAAAAGAGAGGAACTCTTCTTCGACCGCAACTCCGATATGTTTCCGTGTATACTCGGCATCTATCGTGACGGCCAACTTCACATTCCACGTGACGCGTGCGTTGTTGGCCTGACGACGGAGCTCGAGTACTGGGGCCTAAACGAGTCTCTGACTTCAGAGTGCTGTCAGAAGTACTACGAGGATGCTGTTGGAGAGATGCAGCTAACAGAAATGATGAAGGAAGAGTTTGAAAGTGTACGCCCCCGACGTAAGGTTTCAAACGCAGCGTTCATCGCGACCTTCCAGGGCAAATTTTGGGAGTTCCTAGATAATCCAGACTCTTCTAAGTTTGCCAAGGTATGTAAAATCAACAGGGGATAATGTTCGTTGCTTTAGAACAACGTTTTCACACAGTGGAACCTTTCTTTTCCAGAACCTCTCACACTCGATTTTCTGGGGCGTTACATCCACATTTTATTAATATAATGCTCTGGACATTGACTAACAGATGAACTTTCTTATCCACGAAAATGAGCGAAGCATTCAAAGCAGCGTATCTGAATTCTGCATCTCAAAAAAGTTCCGAATGTACATAAATAAGGCTGCGCCACAATATAATTCTATTGTTGTGTATATTTTATTTGTATTCTGTGTTGATTTTCATTCGTATAATTCGAAATTTCCAAATCGAGCCAAAGAAATAAAGCCGAATCGTATTTAAAAAAAAGAAAATTGACATCTAATTGGTCCAGGAACCCACACAGCCTTCAGTTAGTTTGGGGGTCAAGTTTCGTTCAGGGTTTAACTTAGATGACCTCCTACGGAGGTGACCAGGTCTTGACGCAGAGAGGTATCGTGTCGAAGTGTCTTGACTACCCTGGGGAATAGTTGAACGGCTGTACATGCACAGAGCAGTACATTTTTGTAAGTTTGAATCTCAACTAAAAGCGACCATTTTACGTTATATTTCATGCCGAGCTGTACCCTGAAACCAAGCACAGACACCATTGGACCATTGGATTTATCAAACCATCAAAAATGTAGTTTGGTTCCCATGGCAACCATATTGAAAATGATGTTTTGGCCTCTAATTCAGTAGATATTTTGCGAGAGGTTGTTTGATGAAAACTCATTAAAATCATTAAATTACACACTAACTTTCTCTTTTGGGAACATTTACTGGCTATCGTAAAATGAAAAAAAAGGTGTTAAAGAATTTCAATGGATCGACGTGCAATTTCATTATTATTCAGAAACCTGTGAACATACAAGATGCACGGTTTTATTTTAGAATTGATTCATACGGTGCTTCGCAGATTCAGCTTTGTTACCTCTCTAAAGGGCCAGTTTGGAGTCACCCTTCTTTCTGTTCATGTTTCAGATCTGGTTCCTCTGCTTTTACGCGTTTCTTCTGATCTCCGTGGCAAACATCTTCATCAGCACCCACCCTGGCTGTCGCGTCGACATCAACTACAACTACAACAACACAAAGGACCACAACGATTCCTCTGGTCAACTGAAGGATTTCCTCACCTCACAGGCCGAAGAAAACCCCAAGATCAAGCTTCTTCTTCACACGAGACCCCACGTCGTTATCGTCACCCTGGAGTTGTTGTGCGCGGTGTTCTTCACGGTGGAGTTCATTCTCCGTGTCACATTCTGCCCCCACCGGAAGTTGCTGTTCCGGAGTTTCCTCACCTGGTGTGACCTCATCTACCTTGTACCCCTCTGGGTAGAGCTGATGACCAGTGCTATTGACCTTGACCACTGGCATCAGCCGGAGATGATCCCTGGAAAGCTTATCCTGCAGAGTCTGATGGTGATGAGAGTTCTACGAATCTTCACCCTTGCCAAGCATTACCGTGCCCTGCGGGTTCTTCTCCTGTCCCTCAGGGCCAGTCTGAGGGAGATTCTTCTACTCTTCACGTTCGTCCTCTTCGCCATCATCATCTATGCAAGCCTCGTCTACTGCGCTGAGATATTTCGACCAGATTCGTTTGAATCCATGTTGACGGGACTGTGGTGGGCTCTCATCACCATGACGACCGTCGGTTACGGTGACACGGTTCCGACATCTTGGGCGGGCTACATCGTCGCATCATTGTGCGCGCTGACTGGGATAATCATCATCGGCATGCCTGTCCCTATCATCACCAGCAACTTCCACCTCTACTACGGCTTCAGGACAGCAATCGATGATGGCGACGGTGCGAAGTCCCTGACGCCAAAACTAAAGCCTATTAAACAGCCGATCAAAAGTGCGTACGGCTGAAGGAAAATAGCCAAAACACCTATAGGACACTAAAGAGTATGGGGGACACTAGACAGTAAGACATAATTTTTTTATGGTGAAGACTGAGCACACTTTTTCATACAAATATCCCAAAACATATTCTTGATCCGTAACGTTTTTTGTTCAGTATAGTTCCAAATACTAAACAATCAAGTATTCGGCATTTTAAGAAAAATGATGTTAGTATGGCGACATGGGATATCTCGAATACCGCATCCAGCTTTAATTGACAATATTATTTGGATAATTCGAAGGATTTGCGTTTAATTTTCAAGCGGTCTCCGGAGAATCGTCCCCTCCCATCTCGGGAATATTTAACTTAAAAACTAAAGTACTTGATCCGTCACTCATATGCGCAATAGGAAGGACGAATATAAGTGAGTGAGTGAGTTAAACGTTTACATCGTATTGGCAATATTGCAGCCATATCGCGACACGAATATGAGGATAGGTTGACGATAATCATGGGGAGATCGTTTCTTGTTATGGTGGTCCATTGGTTGTGAGAGACATTGCAGAAAGTTGTATTGATAAGCTAACCACCGCCTTGAATGCCTCGACATCCTGAATAAAGGCGTGAAACAAAACCACATTTCCAAGCGGTAATTCCAAAAACAGTCTGATATTTGTCAGTGAACATCAGGGTTATTGTATGAAAACACAGTCGATTTGCAGGTGAATAAAGCTGCTAAACCAGAACACTAGCAGTATAGAAGCTTTATTTTTTGTGGGAAGAGCATGTCGTATCGTTCTTGTCTATGAAGATGCACCGTCGCCTCTGAAACTGTTGAAGAAAGCACCCTGTACATATGATCGCCGTAGAATCCCAGGCTGCTTGTTACAACGGGTGTGTCACTGTGTGTTCATGCTATCAACCACTAGTTTGAAACGAATATATCTACATACTGTCGTGTAGAAGATCAAGAGGGTCCAAAAATACACCCGAGTTGATGTCCTCAGCAGTGAGTGATTTGGGTACAACGCTTTTGAACAGTAGTTCAGTTATATCACGGCGTGTCTGCTTGATGAGGGGGGGAATCCCGAAGTGATAAATGTCTTATTGTATATCATTTTGGAGACAGACACGAATGGATTAGACTAACAGTGATGGAGTCTCTGAAATGAAAATTTTGAAAGATTTGTTTTCTGTCTCTTAACATAATAGAGAGGAGCCTAGAGAATATCTTTTTTGACTAAGACTTTTTTAGAGGGTTTTCAGGTATTTTGTTTCAGCGACTAACCTGTCTTGTCAATGAAGCCTCAAAGACATTGTAGTGCGCGTTGTACGTGTCCATGCACAATCGTTAATCGCCGGAATGTTCCACAGACATGTAGACTTTACGTCAATGTGTTGTTTCCAGCAACAAACAAAGTATTGAAATTGGAAATTTCGTCTATTAAACATTCATTTCTGGTGTCCCCCGCCGTGATATTGCTGGAATATTGCTAAAAGCGGCGTAAAAACAAATTCAATCACTTTTAAACATTCTTTTTTTTTACTGAAAAGTGTAACACAACACAGGCACGTTGTTGCACTGATACTTTATTGCAAAGATTATCACAGTGAATGCATAGTTAACAGGGAGAGAAAAAACAAACGGTGGAAAACCGAACCCTCGGACATAGCTGCGTGCTCGAAACACTTCGGTAATTTCCGGACATTAATGAACTAAAAATGGGGTCATTTTTTAATTTCAATTTTGATTTACTCTGGCCTTGACCAAAGTGTTCCAAGCCTGCAATGAAAGTCACGTGGGTAAATGATGTCACTCCCTAATCTCGCCATCACGGGATTACACGAGATCATGTCATGGTTATTCCACTAGTGCACTAAAACGTGCCGTGAGCTACCTATCTTTCGACACAACCCAAATCGTCAATATAAAAATAAAACATTTTCAAATGGCAAACGGTTTGAGATAGTTCTTCACGTGGTGTTATTTACAAAGTATGTACATAAGGAAAGGACTGGCATATACACTCCATGCTGTAAGTATCGTGTATAAACATGACCCCAGCAGCAGTTAAGATACCGCTGCCGTCTGATTGGTTAATAATAAGTTGTGGTTGTAAATAGTAAAACTAGAAGATAATTGATAAAATACTCATTCTAAAGAAACTTCGAATGAAGGAAGGTTTTATTCAAAAGGAGAATACGAAATTTGAAGATAATATCTGATAAACAAGAAAGGAATTATTCATAAACGTTTGAAAAATGTAATATAAAATGATTGACCTCAATTATTCTAATGATTTTATACTTTCAAAGAGCAGAGTTGAATCGGACACTAAAATTCAAAATTCGACATATGTATCTAGCGTGATCGATTCCTATAAATAAACTTATTCAATGGCTTAAGATTACAAAATGGCAGTAATACTAGTATACACGATTGCAGATTGTTTCATAATCACATGAGACCACCCCCGTGATCAACTTGACCGCCTCCGTGGAGAGCGGAAGGTCGGTGGTTCGATCCCCGGCCTCCGTGGTCTAGTGGATAGAGCATCTGACTGGACTGGGCCGCTCTGAGTCAATATACCGTGACTGAGTAGGGTATTCATGTTAAACTGTAGCATGGTATCTCAGTGGGCTAGCACTATAAACTCGGCATTAGTCCGGACTAGTACAAGTAGGCACACACAGTAAGCTTCAGTAACTCTTAGATATCCATTAATGGACTGCTTCAGTAGCCCTAGGATCTCCAGTAATAGATGAATTCAGTAGCTCTGAGGTCGCCATAAATGGAAGGCTTCAGTAGCTCTAAGACCATCATTCCGTATATCATATGTATGCACTGTATCAAAAGTTGGTCATGTTCCTTCATCCACTATAGAAGGCCTCGCTCCATCGTCCGGTGTCCATGTCTGGATGTTATGTAAAACTGACACACTGTCTGCGTGTAAAGTTCAATTAATATACTTAATTAATTAAATTTCAATTTGCACACTAAGTGAGTTTTGAACGACTTGCCAGGGCCGTGTTTCATAACGCGATCTTAGCGCCAGGACGGTCGTAAGTCCCATACTTTGACAAAACTTACTCTATGATCTCTTTGTTACCAAGGACGGTTATTTGATCCAGACCAATCCCCCCTTTAAGAACTATTCTTGCTTACTTGTTGCTACCACGCTTTTCATATGCGTTTCTACGGATCATAGTTGTAGTTGTTCTCAATTAGGAAAGTTTAATGTTCCTTGTGTCGAGTGAGTATAGTTTTACGTCGCTTCTAGCGATATTCCACCAGTATCACGGCGGGACTCTAGCTTCATACTTTGTAGCAAACCCGTGTTTGCCGTGGAAGGCAACGCTTTAACCAGTGCCCCACCGCCCCCAGTGTGTCGGCAGATAATGTATGTTATACAAGCACAGTGACATACATACACTCTCAGGCTACCTCGGGCGGTCGGGTAGCCTAGTGGTTAAAGCGTTCGCTCGTCACGCCGAAGACCCGGGTTCGATTCCCGACATGGGTACAATGTGTGAAGCCCATTTCTGGTGTCCCCCGCCGTGATATTGCTGGAATATTGCTAAAAGCGGCGTAAAACCATACTCACTCACTCACTCAGGCTACCTCAGTACAGGAACCATTTGTTACTGTGATTGTATGCTTCAAAGACGTCTATAAATGACATTTTGTACGCTCTTCTGACAATGATGCATTGGGATGTGCCTATTGTTCTGGTATAATTACTACACATCACTACCAGAACATGAAACCTGACAGCTATCCTACCTCTCGTCTCTTTAAATGGTTATTTGTAATTCGAAAAGGCATCTGGCAAATTAACCGCCACATACGTTATTTATCTTTGAAATATATATTATCATTGGAATAAGTTACAGCATGCTATCACCTTCAAACAACTAAACGCTCTACTTCCATTACACAAAACAATTATACAGTTTGAAGCTGCGAGAGAAATAATACCCACCTGACGACTTATTCGAGTATATCAAGTTGATCGCGACCCTCAGCTGTTTCCAGTAGATAATCAATAAATATCAGTCTTGTGCCAAATGAATGTGACGCCATCACAGGGAAGGGAACGGATAAGTATAGAAACGCACGACTGTATGTATTTAGGGGAAATATCTAGAAGACAGACGCACTGTTACGGGAGTTGCACGATTCAAGATACCCATGTATGGCAGCTGCAACACGAGATTCTTGACGGAGGCAGAATATAGCCACGTTTGCCAATATGATGTATTTTCTGACAATAATCACGCTGAAATTATACACTCAAGTTGATCGGTGCTTTTACATGCACAGTCGTGATATATTATATTTAGATATATATCTGGTCGAGGTGTTTATCGCCTGTCGATCAATAACTCAAACATCGTTAACATGGCGATTGAAGAAAATGGATAACATCTTTGTTGATAACGCTTCCTTATGTCAGTTTGGATAAAGATTTGAATATTTCTCCACAGACAACCAAACAAGTTATCACCTTCGTACTATTCAGCGTTTTGTGAAACGAACGATCCGACTTTTTTACATTGAGAAAAACTGATATTGAGATGAAACAAGCCTCAAGTTTCATGATATTTGGAACAAGCCTCAGATAATGGCAAACTTGATATTACGAAGTGTAGGGTTTCCCATCTTATACAAGATAAAAGTACATTTCTTGCAAAAAAGAAATTCGCTTATATTTGTGGCATTTTCAGGAAGGAAATTTGACGTCTAGCCGACATGTGTGTGCGCGCGTGCGTGTGTGTGCATTCGCGTTCTTGTATTATTCCGGACTTATGCATATCCTACAATGCTAGCCAACTTTGATACCATGCCTTACTTTAACATGGATGCCCCACTCAGACACAGTATACTGACTCCGAGCCGACCAGTCCTTGTTAAATAGACCCTTAAAGGCGTTATTTAGCTATACAGCACCAGCCTTTTTCATTCAACGGTCTGCTTTCCGAGTTAGGAATTTAATAGGTTCCATAACTCCATGATTGTCTCCCCTTTGGTTTACAGGGTAGTCTAGGTCCCCATAACCCCATGATTATCTCCCCTTTTGGGTACAAGGCAGTCGAGGTCCCTATAATCTCATGCTTCCAACCCTGATTGAGAAGAGTTACTTTTGTGGGGGATCGAACCCGGGTCCGGCATCGGCTTGTCGGGTGAACGCTTTAACCGCTAAACTACCTCGCCGGCCTAAATCTATGAATAACCGAAAAGGACATGGAAGATTACAGGTACAAGAAGAATTATAATATTTGACAGAATATTGCCGGGATCGAAACATACGTAGCTAGAATATGATCTACAACCAACTCCGCATACAACGAAGTCGGATACAACGAACAGTCGATGTAACGAACCTGTCTTTTTCTGAGTGATAATCAATGGACGATACGAAAGAAACTCGGATATGATGAACTTCGGATATAACGAACTGATTTTGTGATACTGGCTTTCGTTATATCCCGGGTTCATTGCTAAACAATATCAGTCTGGGAAGGAGGTCATCTGATCGTACAAATAATGCCACGTTTAACATCATCATCGTCAATACATCACGGGTTTGCGAACACTACGCATCTCCGTAACAACGTGACGTATACGATGTCTGTGATGTGTGGACTATGACCAGCCATGGAGTCTTTGAGAGGCATTTAGAACTTGACCATGAAGACATGAAACGTTCAATGAACAACAGCTTATTTTGAAGATGTTTCAAATAAACGTTTCCTGTTTTCAAATCTTATTTTTGATCTTTAAAGTTTCCTTCAATATCGAACCTGTTAATGACAACCCTGAATTCCCCCTGACTGTTACCCATACCAGCGTCTTATTTAAAATGAATAATATCTGACAAAGGCCATACATGTACCATCATACAAATGGCCTAGCGGTGGCCACTCTATCGGTTATACGTAATCGGCAAACATGATTACTTCCCCTTTTCCTGAGAGTCTTTCTCGCATGTCACTGTGAGGGAGATATTTTCTCCAAGTTCAATAGCAGCGGTATCTACAGCAGGCTTTACCGGGGGCTTCGTCGTTGCTGAACGCGCACTGTTGATGGATACATCATCATCCTCTTCTTGCAGCATCCGTTCCCTGTCACGGTCCCTGCGCGCGAGCCCGTACTGCACATGCGTGTAATACAACACAAAATTACTGACGATGATTGGAACCGTGAAGGCAATCATGAGAAGTCCCGCTACTGCGCACAAAGAACCTACAATATAACCTATTGCAGTTTGAGGATACATGTCCCCATAACCCACGGTTGTCATGGTAACTACGCTCCACCAGAATCCTATAGGAATGTTGTCAAATCCGTTTTCATTTTCAGCAAAATGGATGAGCGAAGCAAACACTACCATTCCAATCAGCAGGAACACAAACATAAGCATCAGTTCGTTGAAACTTGCCTTCAGAGTGTACAATAAAATCCATAGGCCGGGAACATGGCGGATCAACCGGAAGATCCGGAACAGACGGAGCATGCGCAGAATGAAGATAAAGTCCATAATGGGCATTCCTTGACGTCCGATTGGATCAAAAAACAAAAACAAGAACTCTATATAGTCTGGGACAATGGCGACAAAGTCGATGATGTTTTGTAAGGCTCGGATGAACTTCTTTTTACTAGGAGAACAGAAGAAACGTGTGAAGTATTCGAGCGAGAAAAAAACCAGACATGACAAGTCTATCATCACGAGACATGGGTGCGGCACTAGTTGATCTTTTTCCTTTTTCTTGGTACCACTGCAACTTGATCTGACGTCACTTCCGTTGGTTGTCGTATTATGTAGTGTTACATTTTTGCTCCAGTCTATTTTCTGGAAATTGAGAAACTCGTAAAGTGTTCTAAACTGGCGGATGTCTTCCGGTTTTACCCGGAAGTGTGGATGCGTCTCTGCGCAGAAGGAGAAGATTGAGATGAGGACGAATATGATGGAAACCCAGGCGTAGATCTGAAACAAACACAACGGAAATCATGTCACAATTGTAAGAGTTGAACAAATTAAACATTGTTGTGAAAAGTGCCATCTCACACAACGTATCACTAAAAATAGCCACTGTGTTGTTATTCATATATGTACGTACAAGTCAAGACTAAGTCTGAATGTAAACCAAATAATGATTGTTAAATAAATCGCATAGCCGGTCAGAGGACACTGAAAGAGTGAGTGGGTGTAGTTGCGTTAAACGCCGCTTTGAACAGTATTTCAGTCATATCACGGTGTGTCAGCTTGATGTGGGAGGAAGGCCCGAAGTGATGTTATCACTTTAGTTAAACCCACGAATAATGGTGTGATGCTGACAAACCTAGAATCAGGGCGAACCGGATTCAAACCTACGATCATAGGGTTCTGGCACACCTAAGGGAGGCAACTTTGCACAGCAAATTGCGGCCACTTAGACGACTGGGTCAACTGTGACCCTGGCAGAACGCTTCACATTCTCTTCTGTATTTACTGTAGAATTCAAATTCAAACTTCACTGGTTATGTCGGACATAAAATAACCGATGAGATCTATTTAGGATATAATAATTATTTCTTTTCGGATTTTTACGGGTGTCAGCAAATTTTATTTGGAACCGACGGCGCATGAGCTTTGATCAGACGTTCACCAACCAGATTGCAGCACACATTTTACAATAACAACGTTAGTTGACATATAAACTGCAGACATATTTTTTACAAAAGCGAATTTCAAACCTAATGTCAAATTTGTCTTGAATATGTCTGTAATCACTACTGATTCAACCTCTAAAATCGCTAGTGTTGCTATGGTTGACTTCCCACTTGGCCTGACCCGTAAAGATCTGGGAAGAGAATAGGACTTCAGCAACCCATGCTTGTCGTAAGAGGCGACTAACGGTATCGGGTGGTCAGGCTGACTTGGTAAATGAATGGCATTGTATCCCAATTGCATAGATCGATGCTCATTATGTCAGTCACTGGATTGTATGGTCCAGAATCGATTATTTACAGACCGCCGTCAAAAAGCTGGAATATTGCTCAGTGCGGTGGTAAACAACAAACAAACAAACAAACAATCAAATCCAGCTGTGCCTATCAACGCGAGGGCCAACGGGAGGAGTTATGGCAGTGCTGTCAACATTGTTTTGTTGGCGGTGTCTCCCATAACCTCCAGCATGTACAACCACGAGCTCAGTCTCCAGCCATTATCACACACACTCGTGCACGTGTTGCTCATAATGCGTAGTGGGGGCCCGGGTGGCCCAGTCGTCTAAGGCGCCGCGATTCGCTGTGCAGAGTTGCGTCCCTTGGGCACGCCAGAAACCTATGATTGTGGGTTCGAATCCCGGTTCGCCCAGATTATGTTTCTAGGTTTGTCAGCACCATACCCGTGCTCGTGGGTTTCACCGACGTCTGAGACCTGCATCACTTCGGGATTTCCTCCCACCTTAAGCTGACACGCCGTGATATAACTGGAATACTGTTAAAAGCGGCGTAAAACCCAACTCACTCACTCATAATGCGTAGTGTGTATCCTCAGCCCATAAGACCCGTGAAGATCCGGGGTAGAAAAGGTCTTCAGCAATACATGCTTGCAGTAAAAGTGACTATGCTTGTCGTAAGAGACGACTAACGGGATCAGGTGGTCAGGCTCGCTGACTTGGTTGGTGCATGTCATTGTATCCCAGTTGCGTGGATCGATGATCATAATGTCAATCACTGGATTGTCTGGTCCATACTCGATTGTTTACAGACCGTCGTCATATAGCTGGAATATTGCTGAGTGCGGCGTTAAACAACAAACAAATACAACAAAAAACGTAATTGAAACTAATCTTTGTTTCCTTAACGCCGCAAAATTCCCGCTAGGCAACTAAGGTACGATGACATGCATCAACCAAGTCAGCGAGCCTGACCACCCGATCCCTTTAGTCGCCTCTTACGACAAGCATAGGCGCCTCTTACAATAAACATGGGTTTCTGAAGACCTTTTCGAACCCGGATCTTCACGGGTCTCCTGGTTCCTGGAAACCTCTTGGGCTTGAAGTGAGTGAGTGAGTGAGTGAGTGAGTGAGTGAGTGAGTGCGTGAGTGATTGAGTGAGTGAGTGAGTGAGTGATAATGCCACTTTGAGTAGTATTTCAGTTATATCACGGCGTGTCAGCTTGGAGTGGAAGGAAAGCCCGAAGTGATGCAGGTTACCATCTTGGTATGGTACTGCCAAACCTTGAAACACAATCAGAGCCAACCGGTATTGTTAAGAATGGAGTTCCACTTCTGGGTATGCAAAGGATGCATCAATAACGGCGGAGATTGAGAGGACAAGAAGGCCAGTGTACTGTTATATAATTCCACACGACTGACTCCCCCACCACGGGGTGATTGCAGCTACCCCCCGTTGTGACGTCGTCGTGCAATCATCTGTACAAGGAGCCGCCAGATATCAGCCCTTCTCTCGCCACAGAGACCTGCGGTACCTTTCTCTGGGAGTAGCGTCAACCTGACGTGGTGTATGAACGTCTATATCAACTGTTATTGCGTCTCTAACGGGATTGCTTATATTGACTCTTAATTTTCTAACATGTCTGCATTTCAACTGCGAATCTCGAAGGAATTGCCTTGATGGAATAAGCAACCTTTCCCAACACTTACTTAACAATTTGCTGTAAGATCGATAGTGATAATCACATTATTAACGGTGACCTTCGTGCGACATTTATCAACACGACTAGCCATTTATCAGCAAGACTAGCAACTTATCAACACGACTAGCTATTTATCAGCAAGACTAGCAACTTATCAACACGACTAGCCATTTATCAGCAAGACTAGCAACTTATCAACACGAGTAGCAACTTATCAACAAAACTAGCAACTTATCAACACAACTAACAACTTATCAACACAACTAAAAACTTATCAACACGAGTAGCAGCTTATCAGCAAGACTAGCAACTTATCAACACGAGTAGCAACTTATCACCAATACTAGCAACTTATCAACACGACGAGCCATTTATCAGCAAGACAAGCAACTTATCAACAAAACTAGCAACTTATCAACACAACTAGCAACTTATCAACAAGACTAGCAACTTATCAACACGACTAGCACCTTATCAACACGACTAGCAACTCATCAATACGACTAGCAACTTATCAAAACGAGTAGCAACTTATCAACACTTCTAGCAACTCATCAATACGACTAGCAACTTATCAACACAACTAGCAACTCATCAACACGACTAGCAACTTATCAAAACGAGTAGCAACCTATCAACACGACTAGCAACTTATCAACACGATTCTCAACTCATCAACACGACTAGCAACTTATCAACACGACTAGCAACTTATCAACACGACTAGCAACTTATCAACACGATTAGCAACTTATCAACACGACTAGCAACTCATCAACAAGACTAGCAACCTATCAACACGACTAGCAACTTATCAACACGACTAGCAACTTATCAACACGACTAGCAACTTAAACACATGACTAGCAACTCATCAACAAGACTTGCAACCTATCAACACGACTAGCAACTTATCAACACGACTAGCAACTTATCAACACAACTAGCAACTTATCAACAAGACTAGCAACTTATCAACACGACTAGCACCTTATCAACACGACTAGCAACTCATCAACACGACTAGCAACTTATCAACACGACTAGCAACTTATCAACAAAACTAGCAACTCATCAACAAAACAAGCAACTCATCAACACGACTAGCAACTTATCAACACGACTAGCAACTTATCAACACGACTAGCAACTTATACACACGACTAGCAACTCATCAACAAGACTTGCAACCTATCAACACGACTAGCAACTTATCAACACGACTAGCAACTTATCAACACAACTAGCAACTTATCAACAAGACTAGCAACTTATCAACACGACTAGCACCTTATCAACACGACTAGCAACTCATCAACACGACTAGCAACTTATCAACACGACTAGCAACTTATCAACAAAACTAGCAACTTATCAACAAAACAAGCAACTCATCAACACGACTAGCAACTTATCAACACGACTAGCAACTTATCAACACGACTAGCAACTTATCAACAAAACTAGCAACCTATCAACACGACTAGCAACTTATCAGGAAGACCAGTAACTTATCCACATGCTTTGAATTGACTATGCAAGACCAGCCGTTTGAGAACATTTTCAATACTAAAATGCATACTCGACAACCAGGAAAATTAAAACGGTTCGCTAAGATAAAATTTTATTCCACTCACTCATTGACAAAGGGCTGCAGGGGAAAGAACTATAACCATATTGTCAATGAACGCACGAAGGGTAATAAAAATCTGAAACTGTAAAAAGCATTGTTTTATAGTTTCAAAACAACTGGTACCTCCTGTCAGATGTTCAAAGTTTAAATAAAGTAACAAATTACATCTAAAATTCACCGGTAGAAATGGTTAGTTCACTGTCGGATGTCAGATAAAAAACTTAATTCCTTTAAGTATCATGGGGTGGGGTGGGGTGGGGTGGGGTGGGCTGAGTTGGTGAGAAGAATGGCCCTGCAAGTTTTCCAACCGACAAAATCAACTTACCTGGTTTCTCAACGTAAATATTTTTTAACTTAGCGAAGCAAAAACTCCGATCCTCTATTTATTCATATGCTGTTACGAGTTGTCATGTAATACATACGGTATTTCAGCGAGGTGTTGGGGTTTATCGTCGCCGGCAATAGTGACAAGTCCTTCTGGTACAATGCGTAAGATAGAATGGCAGATTTGATCTATAAAAATAACTACAGATGATTTTCAACACCAAGTATATAAACTTCAATCGATAAATGCCTGACGAAAATGGTCTCTAAACTGAGGACTTCAACATTTTCAGAATTAAGTTGTCTTTTCTTTGTTTTTGTTTTGTTTGGTTGGTTGGTTTGGGGTGTGTGTTTTTGTTTTTTGTTTTTTTGTTTTTTTTGTTTT